ACACTGTGAAACTTCCAATGCCATTATGTCTGCTAAGGTTGGCATTGGCCAGTTGGGGGGGGTCTCTGTGCTTCTGTGTGAACTTTAGGGGTTTTGTTTTTGTTTTTCTAGTTTGATAAAGGAACGCTATTGGGATTTGGGTGGAGATCACAGCCAATCTGTGAATCGATTTTGGTAATGTTTTCACAGTATTTATTCTTTCCGCAGTGGTTTTATTGTGTGTTTCTTCTGTGCACCTTGGAGCGAGAACCGCTAAGGTTCAAATCCCAGCTTTGCCATCAAATTAGCTTTGTGCTTTGGGGCAAATCGTTTAACCTGTTAAAGCCTTGGTTTCTTCGTTTGTGAAGTAGGGTTAACAACAGCATCTACTCATAAAATTGCTTGGAAAGCAGAACGAGTTAATGTTTAATAGGCCGGTAGGACAGTACCTGGCACACAGTGGGTACTCTAGGAATGTTGGCTTGCTAAAAGGAGACCTTAACAACGGTCTCTAATAGAGCGACTGAGGAGTTCCGTGTGTACGCGCTGAAGGCCAGTGCTGGCAAGGATGGGGTGCCCGTGACCACATCCAGGGTTTTCCTCCGGAGCAGGGTGCTCTGGTGTCTTACTCCACACAGGGTGGGGGCAGCACTCTAGGGGGCTCATGGGAAGGTAGAGTCTGAGCATGGTTAGGAAAACACACACCCAGGAAATAAGGAGAAAGATAACAGCCTGTGCTTATAGAGTAGAAAACTAATGCTTCCTTCGGGAGGGGTGTGAAGCTGATCTGCCGGGCTGTGACCTGCACGCTCGGGATGTGGATTTCCGTAGGATACAAGGAAACCTTTCACACTGCAAGCGTGCTGCCCTTCAGAAGGGTACAGTTGGGGTGACGGAGGGAGATCCCTCCCTTGGCTTCTAAAAGTGCCCTCCAGTGCTTCAGAATCACCATTCATAGCCTCTGGATATAAAAAAGAAAATGCTTCCAACACCAAATTTTCAAAGAACCTCTAACAGTGTTACAAAACACCCCTTAAAATATCTCACAGTGGTAGTGCACGCCTTTAATCCCAGCACTCAGGAGACAGAGGCAGGTGGATCTCTGTGAGTTCGAGGCCAGCCTGGTCTACAAGAGCTCTCCAAAGCCACAGAGAAACCCTGTCCCGAAAAACCAAACAAGCAAGCAAAAAAAATCCCATGGTTTCTATGGATTCCAGCAGCTCACAGTTGGCATCCGTGTTTGGAGTTTGGGCACGCCCTGTCAGAGGGGTGAGAACACCTATTGCTTGGTGTATTGTGTGTGCCGAGCAAGTGCCCTGTGGTCACAGGAGAGGCGGGGCACTTCGGCTACACCGCTTCTCATCATCTTCCCCAGAGTGGGGGCCCCGTTAACCTGGGCTGTCCAGGAACATTCAGGAAAGTCCTTGATTTGCCGTGGCCTTCTCCAAGTGGACTGTAAAATGACAGACAATATGCCCGCTTCAGGGAGGTCATGGTTTCAAGACTTCACTGGACTGGCAGGTAGTTGGGATCTCTGTCAACTCTCACTCTGTACGAATAGCGCATCTGCCCCCCCCATTGGGCGGAGCTCTTGCCCTCAGCCCCACTAACATCCTCGTGGAAAGTCTCTGGGGACCTCTCTCTGTTCCCCCACCTGGTGGTCCACAGACTTCCTTGAAGGACATGTGCCATTTGCCCCCCACAGTGTCCCCTCCCTCGAGTGCCTTCTTGTCTTGGCAGGCGCCTTGGCGTGCTTGTAGGCAGACTGTTGGAGCACTCTCTGCCGCTTGTGCGCGCCCGTGCAACCTCAGCTCCCCCCCCAGGCCTCTGCCGGTTCAAGTGTGGCGTGTCTGCTTTTGGGTTCTGTCCCAACTCCATTCTCCCCACAGGCCTTCCCTCTGTCCCAGCTGGGTCTAGAACTCGGGGGACATCCTTAATTCTTCTATTCCACCAGTCTCCCGACACATACCTTCTGCCACCACTGGTCCAAGTCCCTGCCATTCCTCATGGGGCCATCGAAGGACTGTCCCACCTTTCTCCTGTCCAGCGTTGTTTCTTGGAGCTCTGTTCACGCTGCGCGCGTGGGGGGCGGGGGGACGGGGGGGACAGGGGGACGGGGGCCGCATCCTTTGACGATTTAGACCAGTTTGTCTTCTGCTCGGAGCTAAAATCTCAAGGTCTTGCCTGTAGAACTCTGACCCTGGTTCTCGCTCCGGTGACTCCGTACTCTCTGGCCACTCCCTGCCTCAATTCGCCGTTCCATGTCATTAGCTGTGCCAAACATTTCCCCACCGCCCAAGGACCTTGGATGTTCAGGCCTCAGGAGACTTCTCCCCGTTCTTTCAAGGCCTGTGGCAAGTCACCGCTCCTCTCAGAGAAGCCTGCCCTGCCCTGTCCACGGGAAATAGTAGCTAGTGTCTCCTCCCCCACCCCCGGGCCCTGCTCTGTTCTCAGCAGGAGCTCCCAAGAGAGCGGGCACCGCGATTTGCTCTCAGTTATATCCCCAGCCCTAACGTAGTGCCCGGCGTGCCGCGGACGGCGCAGGTCTTTGGTGGGAGCCATAATAATAATAATAATAATAATAATAATAATAATAATGATAAATCGCCATGACGATTATTCCTCCGCTCCTCAGAGCCTCCCTGTGAGGGTGAAGTCTTACCCTTTTCCGTGTCAGACTGAAGGTTGGGAGCAGGCGGGGAAGTCGCCCAAGGTCGCTGTGGCCCTGGCCTTGGATCCTGCAGCACCGTTTCTCCCGCCCCTGGCCTGTCTTTCCAGAAACGTCTGTCATGGCTGACCAGCTTGTGGAAATGTCAGCGGCACCCCCTGGTTAATCCTTGGAACTTGGAGAAGGGCAAGAGCCTTGTCCCTTGTCGTGACGGGCGATATCTTGGGAGAGTCCTGGGTTCATCACAGGCTCTTCCTCCCCACCCCCAGTGGCTGGGGCAGGAACTATGCCAGGCCCTGGGAAGAAGATAATCTTACAGGACCCAGCACCCTCCAGGATTCCGGGAAGGGCCGTGAGGGACCTGGGCCATCATCTCTTCTCAGCCCGCCATGGTAGCGTTCCCTCCAGGGCTGCCCATGTGGACGGCTCCGGTGTGAGAAGCTGGCAGCCATTTGACCCCCTGTAGCCACAGGGCGTCCACAAGGCAGGACGTCCACAGGGAGTCACAGGGCGTCCACAGGGAGTCACAGGGCAGGGCGTCCACAGGGAGTCACAGGGCGTCCACAGGGAGTCACAGGGCGTCCACAGGGTGTCATAGGGCAGGGCGTCCACAGGGCGTCCTTGAGGGCCCACGAGGCTGGAGGAAGGAAGGCCCAGGGAACTGAGGCAGCATAGTGAGGCTGCGTCCTCAGGCTGGCTGGGGCCAGAGACCTTGATGGCTCAGCCGTGGGAGCTGCCTTCCCTGCTCCCCAGGTGCATGGGCTGCCCTACTGTGTGCCCCCACCCCCCTGCCGTGTGCTACCCTGGTGTGTGCTGCCCTCCTGCTGTGTGATATCCTACTGTGTGCTGCCCCCTGCTGTGTACTGCCCTCCTGCTGTGTGCTGCCCTACTGTGTGCTACCATCCTGCTGTGTGCTGCCCTACTGTGTGCTACCATCTTGCTGTGTGCTGCCCTACTGTGTGCTACCATCCTGCTGTGTGCTGTTCTCCTGTTGCCTGCTGTGTGTGTGTCTTGTGAGGATGTTGAGACCGGGTTTGTCTACCGAGGCCAGCACTAGACATTGTTCATTAAGCTACTACTTTGTGTGAGGTTCAGTTGTGACCCAGCATCCCCAGGCTTGGCCCTGGTCGGGGCACCTTTAACAGGCATCTTCTATGTGTCGGGCCCCAGGGACATGATACTTCAGCTCACCCAACCCTTACCCTCGCTCTCCTTTGAGGGGGGCTGCTGCTCTCTCCGTTTTTTACGTGGAGGAGCTGGAGAGCAGAGATGACAAGTCACCCATCCAGTGTCAAGTCTCTCAGGAGAGCAGAGCTGGCCGCAGCGTCGTCTGCGTTGCACTCACTGGCCAAAGCTGCCCTTTTATGACTCCTCTCTGGAGGCACAGGCCTCCGTGGGGCGGGTCTCCTCAGCTGGGGAAGGTGGCTCTGAAGAGGGACAGGAAGCGAACGCAAAAGGGGCCAGAGAGCCAACCAGTGCAGAAGTCGTGCAGGTGCTCCTGGGAATCCCAAAGCAGGGGTGACAAGCCAGGAGGGGGGAGGGGGAGGAGGCCAGCAGGTGTGGGATGGGGGCTTGCACAGCTGATTCTCCTCTTGCCGATAACACTCCACGGCACAGCCCTCCTCATCCATACTCAGGCTTGCCCTGTTCGCTCTAGCTGCAGACAGAATGCTCTCCTGTGCCCTGGCTGATGATGTCTTACTTACTTGATTATCATGCAGAGATGTTTTCCATCGGATTCACATCTTTTATTTTGCCTGAAAACATTTCTATTTTACCTTCACTTAAAAAAAAAAGTGTGGTAGGGCTGGTAAGATGGCTTAGCAGGTGCAGGCCCTTGGCGGGAGAGAGCTGATTCCTGCAAGGTGTCCTCTGACCTCCGATTGCATGCCGTGGCGCACCCCCCACACGCGATAACTAAATATAATGAGAAGTTAAAAGGGGTTTGTGTGGTCTTCGTGGAGACACCGGGGCTCCTCAGCCTGTGTGTTTGTAACGAGGGAGAGTTCCTGTCTGAATCAAAACCATGAACATTACGTCATCCGATGGTGTCCATTTGGGAATTGTTTGCACGTTAGAAAGAGAGAGAGATACCGGGCATTCGGTCCGACTTTTGGCTGCATCCTGGTTTTGCTGTAGATTTGATTTTCACAGGTGGAAGGCTGACTCTTCTGGGAGTGTGGGACTTTTCTCTTGGGGACCAAGCGGAGGTTCGGGGTGAAAGTAGCTGGTGGGCCCCTCTGGAAGAATCCTCTACCTCATGCCCCGAGCCGTCTGTCTTTCCTCTTGATGAAACAGAACTTCCTCTGTTCATCTAGTCACCGAACAGTAACATTTGGCTTTTCTCTTCCAGACCCAAGAGGCCGAGGCAGAACAACTTCTCAATGTTTCCCTCTCCCAAAGCCTGGAATTTCAGAGGGGTAAGTGTCTGTCCTGGGTGGCCCTGTCCCGTTGGGAACAGAGCTCTGCTTGGTGGGGACATTACCGCGCCTTGCTTTCCTAGCAAGCTTCGCCTACAGACAGCACCTGTGTGTCGTGCATGGCTGGCATCCCCTGCCCTGGGCACAGAGCACGTGGCTGTAGGAGACTCCGGTGAAAATGCCAAGGTCTATCAAGCGAGCACCACGCTATGCTCCTTGGAGTGGAGGAAAAGGGAATACGCCATCTGCCAGTCTGGTGATGAGCAGGCTTAGACCTTCAAGGGTGGCTTGCTTTCCAGGGGTTTAAGGCACACATGGAATTTCCTCAGGGACAAAACAGCAGACTCTTCCCGGCCTGTTGGGTCAAGCCGCTCTTCCTCTCGGCGCCGTCTTCCTTGGTGCGAGTGTGTGACTGCGCGGCACGTGAAGGACCCAAGGCGCTCACGTGGCTGCAGTGGTGACTTTAGGACGGCTGTGCACGCTTCACCCCCGGGCCATCGCCTGCCATGTCCCTCTGTCCAGCTCTGCTCTCCTAGGCATGCTGCACCTAACCCTCTCTGGACAGTTGGTGCGAAGTTGGCTTAGGAGCCCTCCTAGGCGCCCCTGCGTGTCTTACCGTTGTGTCCAGTGAGGCACTTGCTGAAGGAACTTGGAAGCTTGGAAGCCCCAAGTGGAAAGTGCGTAGAGACCTTGTCTATTTTTGTTTACCGGTGTATCTCTAGACCTGGCGTAACGCTTGGTTTGCTGAAGGAATGGATGGCGTTTACCCTGCACAAAACCCAGACATTAGGTTGTGTCTTGAGTCTCCAGTGGGGACTGTTCTGCTTCGTCCCAGCTGGTCCTAGTCACACTTTGAAGCTGTGGATGGAGCACAGCCATCTATTAAGACTGTGGTACACGACACTAATTTTAAACGTTTATTATCTGTGCCTATCTGTGGCATGTGCCATGGTGCATGTGTGGAAGTCTGAGGACAACTTGTGAGTGGGAGTCAGTTCTCTCCCTCACCATATAGGCCCTAGGGCTGAACGCAGGTCGTCCAGTTTGGCGACAGTCACCTTTACCCAGCGAGCCGTCTCAATGGTCCATGATACTGCTTTCGCTTGGGTTAGAGCACAGAGGACACTTTTCACTGAGTTCAAGGAGAACCGTACTGACTTCCGAGGCAGGCGCGTGGCTGACTGAAGTAGGTCCTGTACGCGCGGCCGCTCATGTATGTATGGGTAACTCTCCACTTCCAAAGTGTGCGCGGTAAATGATCGTGGCCGTCAAGAGATGACTCGCTGTGGGGTGCCATGAGCTTGGGACGTAATGAAACGTGTTCCTCACTGCAGGACAGAGACTTGGCGGGTTGATGTCTGGAGCACCCATAAAGGGAGCTGATGGAGTTTGCAGTATTTCCCAGAGTCATTGACTGGAACTCTGTTGCACCTACCGTCTAGAGACTCTTTGGAAGTCGACTCTATTGTCTTTGGACTGTGGGGACGCTGGATCCGTTGTGAACCATGCGGTCTTTAGGAGGGCCATGTTTTCAGGGTTCTTACCTATCCCCTCTTCTGTGTCCTGCTCTTCAGCCGTTAGCCCAGAGTGGCAGGTGCACAGGGCAGGAAGTCACCTCAGATTGTTGAGGGACTGCCAGGGTTTTAGTACCCAAAGTCCCACACTTCAGGGAACCCTCCGCCCCAGGCCCCCTAGGTTGATTACCCTGTCTATGATCTTGAGATGTCTCTATCTGGTCCCTCTTGGAAAGATTTTTTTTTCTAGAGACAACTATAAGTTGCAGAGGCAAGAGGATCAGGGGTAACGAGTAGTGAGACCCTGCTTCAGAAAGCCTCTGGCTCAAAAGATCATGCACAAGGCCCCAGGTCTGATCCCCAAGGCACTAGATCAGTGAAGCAAAATCTCAACTTGTGAAACTGGCATGAATGACTAAATTTCAATTGGTGCCTGGACTAGCAGCAGTGTTGATCTTACTTCCGGCCCTGGGTTTTACGGGAAAGTCAGACAAACTGGCATCAGGATACATCAAAGGGAAAGGCACTGGGCCTGCCATCCCATAGTCCTCTGTGACCAGGTTCATCTCTCTCTGCCCTGGAGGAGGACCCTCAGTGACGTGTGGGTATATGGGACCCAAGAGAGCTGGAACAATCTCATTCCCAGCAGGACTTGATCCGTGGTGCTGCACACACGCGCGCATGCACACGCACACACTCACACACACACACACACGCACGCACGCACGCACGCACGCACGCATGCACGCACACACACACACACACACACACTGACTGGGAGTTCAGTAGAGCTGCAATGTTCTTTTTCCTCATCTCCGCCTTCAAAGGCTGGGATTAGAGGCAGGCTGTCACTCTCCACCTGGCATTTCTGTGGGTTCTGAGGATCCAAGCTCTAGTTGCTCAGCAGGCACTCTAACCTCTGGGCTGCTTGCAGATGAGCTAGGAAATGCTTCACAGAGGAGAGCTGGAGGGTGGAGACCGCAGGGGACATTCGGATGCCTTCTAGGTGGCTTCTCTGCCCCCCCCCCCCAGACTTTGGAAGACATTTTGGGACTCTCAGGTTTAGAAGGACATACAGTATAGCCTCTGCTTTCTCACTCTTAGCGGAAGGCCCAGTCAGGACTCTGGCCACAGGTGATGATCTCGGTGTGAACCACCTGGAGTGAAAAGGGAATTGATGGCCCATGTGACCGAGGTAAACCAAGGCGGATGGGCTTTAGGCGTGGCTATGTCAGCTCTGTCGTTCTCTGCCTCCTCCTCCTCCTCCTCCTGTCTGTGGACTGTTTCTTTTCTTAGGGGGACAGGGTGATCTGAACAGAGGGAACGGATTTTTGTTTCCATGGTCCACAGATGAACTCCGTTCACCTCAGCCTAATCCGTGTGCTGTATGATGGCTAACTCCTAACTCCTGGGACCAGGAGGATGGTGTGCTCTGATTGGACAGGGTTTGGGGAAGGCACCTCCCTCTGGCCAAGTTTTGTGTCACTTGAGGTGAGGCAGGGCCAGTGGCTCAGAGGAAGTGTTTAATGCTGTTTCCCAAAGAGAATGCAATTCCTGGACATAGCTGTGATCACACTAAGGGTCACTCCAAGTTGAGAGTCAGGACCGAAACTGTTAGGATAAAGTTTGGGGGGGGGGGCTTGCTGGAGGGACAAACACGCCAGGCAGACAGAGCTTAAGTGAGAAGTTTCATTAGAAAGGGGAGGGGGGCACAGAGACAGAGAGGACAGAGGAGGAGATGGAGACAGGAAAAGTCCTGTCTGCCCCAGGGCCACAGCGGGAAAGAGAGCCTAAGCAGGTCTGTCCTTTACAGGGTCCTTTGCACCTGCGCGCAGACTGCACAGTCACGGAACCCTGGGCTGACCAGGGCACTGCCTGAGTGCATTCTGCCAGGTGACGGGGGCAGGCCAGCACATGCCTGAATCCTCACAGCCTATGCCCCCCACCTTCAAAGCCTCTGGAGCACCTACCCCCCATGAGACCTTTGGATGCTTTGCCTCTCCCAGAGAGCGGGAAAGGCCAGATTCCTTTCGAGGGCGCGGCTGCTGAGATGAGGCCACCAGACAGTGCCCTCTTTTTTTTGTTGTTGTTGTTTGCTTGTTTTTTCGTTTTTTGAGACAGGGTTTTTGTGTATTGTTTTGGAGGCTGTCCTGGAACTCACTCAGTAGACCAGGCTGGCCTCGAACTCACAGAGATCCGCCTGCCTCCGCCTCCCGAGTGCTGGGGTCAAAGGCATGCACCACCAACGCCCGGCGACAGTGCCCTCTTAATGACCTGAAAGCCCACAGTAAGCAGCTCCCGAGCTGATATCCTGTGTTGACATCCTGCCTGCATGCTGGGGAGGGATCATAGGAGGCCTGTGCCTCTAAGACAGGTGTTCTCGGGACAGATTTAACGGAAGAAAGTAACTTGCCTCTGGCCACCCTTTGTAAGGTAGCTCCTGGATTCCGCTAGCTTCCCTTCACGGTGGTGTCGGCCCATCTTCAGGGACGCTTTCGAGGAACATCTTTTCCGCACAAAATTATTTGCGAGCGGGGGAAAATGTCTGTACTCTTTGTTTCATACTAACTTTCCAAATACACAAGGGACTTTGGCAAAGGTGTAATGCGAGTTTTAAAACCCAGTTGAAAAAGATTGTGAAGGGGTTGGAATAAGCAGTCTCAAAGAGGAAACACAAAGTAGTCAAGCCATTTCATGAACTGATGTTTTTTTTGTTTTTTTTTTTTTTTTGTTTTTTTTTTTTTTGGTTTTTCGAGACAGGGTTTCTCTGTGGCTTTGGAGGTTGTCCTGGAACTCGCTTGGTAGTCCAGGCTGGTCTCGAACTCACAAAGATCCACCTGCCTCTGCCTCCCGAGTGCTGGGATTAAAGGCGTGCGCCACCAACGCCCGGCTATGAACTGATGTTTTAAAATAACAAAGGGAGTAAAGAAAAATTAGCAATGTTAATGTAGCCCATCCATGGAAGTCTCACTGTGAGACAGCATCAAACTCCCCAGCAACCGGTTCAGTCACCTCTGTTCTCACCCCAGTGTTCAGATGGTGAGAATAAAACTAGATCCATCGCCCGAGTTCCACGGCGATGGGACAGAGGGCCTGGTTTGCTTCCGTTATATTTTATTTATTTGTTTGTTTGTTTGTTTATTGTATGCATGGCACAGGAGGGGCTCGTGCATGCCAAAAAGCAAGTGTGGATGTCAGAGAACAACGTCGCGGGGCCTGGTTCTTCCCTCGCACCATCGCCCGGCTTGGGGGGGGGGGCAGTGTCTCTACCCACTGAGCCATCCTGCTGGCGCCGGGTTCAGCCTTTAAGCAAGTCAGCTTGGCTCCAGAGCCCGTGTGGTGGTGTGACAAGTGCGTGTGACCTGAAGTGCACAGTGTGAGTGTGCGTGAAAAGCAAACAGAAACCACCCGTTTTTTTCATTGAAGGGAGACGACATACGAATCAATACGTAGAAGAAGTTTGTGACGCTGCCACTCTTGGTTGAC